CCACTCCCCTATAATTATGTGTATAAAAGGAGGCAATTTTGCGCGCGCGACGCCAGCTATGTGTTAATTAATTACAGGCATAGCAACCAGTTTTAGGTGCTTGACGACTGTTACACAGGTTTCCATCGGGTTGCAATTTACTCTAATTCATTAATATAGCATATTAGTCATCTGAGCGGATCAATCATCAATACAAGTGTTTAGTTATTTTGTTGAAACAAGCTTAATAAATTACCGAGTGATAAAATTCAGCAAGTCGAAACAAATTAAATTATTATATCAACTGATAAACTCCGAATATTTTACAGTTTATCGAAACTGAATGGTAAAAAGCGATTACATATTTAAGAACAGATGTTACTTTACATTTACATTCAAGAAGCAACTAAGATCAAGATTGCGGTATAGTATGCTTTTAAAGAATCCTATATAGTCGATGGTGCTGTAGATGTGTCGAGTAAGCATCAAAATGTATTAGTTTATGTTAGATACAAATAATAACTAAGATTAGACAGAATATTTTATTACAGTCAATAAAGTTGGCATACGATGCAGTATAAATATGACGTGACATGATCATACGCATCGTTAACAGTAACACGAAACAAAACCGCGCAACATATGAAATGATCTACAACCAAACCACATATAGAATATAGATCGACGGCGACACCTAAGATGCGCGCAGAATTTTCAAGTTCTGCACGCCTAATATAATGAAAACGATTATCACGTGCGCCAAACACCACTCTGGGATACAAGTAGAACAATTACATTGTAGGCAGTAGGGAAATTTAATCGTGCGTGGTGTTACCGCGGCGAAATTCTTGTTAGTCTTCTTCGAGAGGACTAAACCTACCGCTTGTCGTCTGTACCCATCACTTCTTCCTGAGTTAATAAAGAGGGACCCATCATCGAAGGTAACCTCACCAGTGCCGGGTCTGTGCGTCTCTGTCAGCCCCAAGACATCCATTTTATATGCTGACATATTCTGTGACAATTCATACAGCTTTGAGGAACTGCTCTCCAATGATAACACATTCCACGTTCCCACATTAATGCTGTGTTTGATAAAGTTGCATGGGAGTGCTCTCCCCTTCTCCGGGTCCACATGAGTGATATGCCTTGAACTAATAACACTGTTGAAATAAGGCGACTTCTTTGTTCTCATCTGCACACTGGGGTCCTTGCGGCTTTGCCCAGAGCACTTCATCCTGGCTACACCCCTCCTTGAACTCCGAGAGTCACTCCACTTTTGGTTATTCATTGATGTTTCAGTAGCTATTTTAAGGTTGAAGGGTAGCTGGCCCCTCGAACCTGGTAGTTCATTGTACATTGATACATTACATCTCTTGGTGGCAAGAGATTATTTATAATCTCAGGGAATAGTGATCGTGAAGGCAGTGAAGCCAATAACCTCTCCTATTCCAATGACCATAGTGCGTGATGAAGAATCACATCCTTTTCGAGGTGCTACTATTAAGCATTGTAATCTGTCCTGGGTGACTCCAGTATAAACAGATGACGTGCAACAAAACACTATGGATCTAGACAGGCAAAGGTCGATAAAAAACCGGGTGCGAGATGCTGGCAACTTCTCCTCTCTAAAAGTTTGCTACTGAAACATTACACACAAATCAAGGACGGTGTGCTTCTACCTCTGCAAGGTCGGGTGAGACCAGGATGACGGCAACTGGGCAAAGCCTCAGGGACCCCAGTGGCCTGATGAGAAGAGTGGTTGCTCGTCATAACAACAGAGTAATTAGTCAACAGATCGCTCATGTTGACACTGACTTCAGCAAGTCCAATCCTATCAACTACAGCAAACACTCAATGTACTTTGGAACCTGGAATGTTTTATCTTTAGTCAGCTCATCTTCACAGCTTTATCAACTCAGTCAGAACATTGATCACTACAGTCTTGATATTTTGGGTATTACTGAAACTCATATGCCAGGATCTGGAAGTACACTTTTGGACAATGGTAGTCTACTTATTCATTCTGGTAGGGGAGATGGTATCAAAAGGCAAGGGGTTGGCCTATGTCTTTCCAAAAAGATCAGGAACTCCCTGATCTCTTATGTACCTACATCAGAGCGGGTCTTAACAGCTAGGTTACACGGCAAACACCTCAACATATCTGTTGTTGTAGCCTACGCTCCGACTGACGGTGCTGATGACGGAGAGAAAGATCGTTTTTACAACGTTTTATCAGACACGTTTGGTGAACTGCCCCGACATGATCTGAAACTGCTACTGGGTGACTTCAATGGAAAAGTTACTTCAAACAGATATGGATTCGAGGGAGTTATTGGTGGAGAATCTCTCCATAGTTCATCAAGCGACAATGGGACCAGGCTCATGGATTTCTGTGCAGCCAATCAACTTGTTATTGGTGGAACTCTGTTCCAGCATAGAGACATCCACAAGGGTACATGGCGGTCTCCTAACGGGTTAACTGTGAATCAAATAGATCATGTTTGTATTAGTGGACGATTCCAACACTCGCTACTCGATGTTAAGGTATGTCGTGGGGCTGACATTGGTTCAGATCACTATCTTGTTCGTGGACGGCTGCAAATCAAACTGCAGTCGGTAGCTAAGATCACTGCTAAAAGGCACGATGTGCCTGCTATTGAACATTTGCGAAACTCGTCTAAGGTTCAAGAGTACAATGTGGCTCTTCAGAACCGTTTTGATTGTCTGGCTAATGAGGTCAACCTTGAGGACATGTGGGATAATTTCAAGCAGACAGTCACTGATGTCTCGATGGAAGTGCTTGGAAAGCGTCCCCGGAAGGTTAAAGAACAACACCTTTCGCAAACCTCTAAGAACTTGATAGAGCAACGGGGAATGTTCAAACGGAGGGATCCCACTTCAAACGTCAATAGATCAGCCTACTCTAAACTTAATAAATTAGTTAAGAAAAGTTGTAAAATTGACGACAACAACTGGGCTACTAAAATAGCGACTGATCTAGAGGAGGCTTCTAAGAAAGGCCAGCAAAGGGAAGTTTGGGATAAGATAAAGAAGATTTCTGGGAAAAAGAAGAAGAAAGTGGGTATGTCAGTTAGGGATAAGGATGGTCATTTTATTACAGACCCGGACAGTCAGAAGGAAAGGTGGAAGGAGCACTTTACTGAGCTCTTAAATCCTCCACTATCGGATGCCAATCTTGATGACCTCGATGGTGTGCCCTCACAACCGAGTTTTGACTACCTTTCTTGTTCTGATGGACCTCCTTCTAGAGATGAGATTAGTTATGCTCTAAAGAAACTGAAGAACTGCAAAAGTGCAGGGGTTGATGAGATAACTAATGAACAACTTAAGTATGGTGGAAGTGCTCTTGTTGGCCAACTAGAGCTACTGTTTAAAAAGGTATGGGAGGAAGAGGTGATCCCTGAGGATTGGCTTAAAGGTGTTATAGTGGTTATCGGAAAGAAGGGAGACACCTCATACTGCTGCAATAATAGGGGTATAACTCTTAGGGCAACGTCTTCTAAGGTTCTTCAAATGGTTCTTCTTAAGAGGCTGGATGTTGGAATGGAGTGTCTTCTTAGGGAAAATCAGTGTGGGTTCAGACGGAACCGCTCATGTATTGATCAGATTTATTCCATCCGCACCATTATTCACAACTGCATTGAGTTTAACATTCCACTTTATGTTAATTTCATTGATTTTAAGGCAGCGTTTGATTCCATCAGAAGAGAGTTTATTTGGTCAAGCATGAGACACTATGGACTTCCTGAGAAATATGTTAGAATCTTTCAGGCATTCTTCAACGGAACCATGAGTGCTGTCAGGGTTAATGGTGAAATGTCTGATTGGTTCTCTGTTAATTCGGGCACTGGACAGGGTGATATCCAGGGCCCCCCTGTATTTAATTTTTGTCTGAACTTTGGAATCTTTTTGGCCGAGGTTCACAAGGCAATCAGTCATGGTGCTGTACTGCAAAAGGAACTAAAGGGTGCAGATGAAAAAGTTATCATGGACAGTGACTACGCTGATGATCTGGCAGTGATGGACAATACTGAAGAAGGGCTGCAAGAGTCCACTGATCTTATAGCTTATTACACCTCTTATGCTGGGTTGAAAATCAACGCTAAAAAGACACAATGCATGGCGATCAGCAAGTGTGCGTCCCAGCGACCTTACACCGAAAGAGACAGTATAAAGCTAACAGTGGAGGGAGAACCTGTTGAACAGGTCAGCAACTTTGTTTATCTTGGTGCCAACATCAGTGGGGATGGTACCATTGACCGAGATCTTGACATCAGGATCCAGCGTGCTAATGGTGCGTTCCATCAGCTTTGGAAGATATGGAACAGTCGAACTATAAGAACGCCCACCAAGATCCGTATCTACAAGGCTGCTGTTATTACTATTCTGTTATATGGAGCCGAAGTGTGGAACACAACAAAGAAGCAGATGAAACGGTTTGAGGTCTTCCATCTGACCTCCCTGAGAAGAATTTTGAAGATAAAGTGGTTCTTCCATGTCTCCAATGAAGAAGTTCTCAGGCGTGCTGGAATTAAGTCTATCGAAACTTTCATCGGTGCGGCTAGACTAAGGTGGTACGGACATGTTGTCAGAATGCCAGAGACGCGGTTTCCCAATTTCTTACTGGATTGGAAACCAAACTATGGAAAGAGACTGAGAGGACGACCCCGCAAAGGCTGGATGGCCTGTGTACTCGAGGATGCGGCTGAATTTACAGGTGTCGATAACATCAGCAGAGATGCAGTAAAACAGTTGGCTCTAAAGCGAGTGGAATGGAGGAACATGTTACGCCGTAGAAGAGATGTGTGTGATGCAGGCCACTCCAACGACTAGGAGGAGACCTCTTCATGTAGCATGTGTATGTACATTACAGCAATATTCAGATCGTTTCAATGTTATGATAGTACACACTCAATCCAGAAGAAGCTTTCAAATAGTAACGAAGAACGATCTCATGATATCAACAAACTGTAATAGAAGTAAGTTAAAATTGAGACATTACAGCAATATTCAGCAAGCTTTGATCAGACCTCTTACTCTATTCATTTTTGTTTGATTTTTGCTCGATATTATATTTCACTTGGCAGAGTAATTCTTAAAAGAAATGACAAACGGTGAAAATGACGTCCTGGTTGATAAAGACAACCAGCAACAAACAACTTGGACAAGGAATGATAAGATGTTGTTGATATGTTGTCTCCTATGCGACTTTGCAGATGGAACAGAGATTGATTTGCCTGGTTGGTGAAACTTATTATTTTTGAAGTGAAAATTTTCAATTTCTTTCTGCACATTGCACAAGCTCATTCACATTTTACAAAATAGCCTTCCTTGTATTGAAAACCTCACTCCTACTCTGTAACACACGCGAGCCGCGAGGAAGCCTGATAACCATATTTCCTCACGTATCAGGAATGTTAACTCAACAAGTTTCATGTGACATTGGAATATCTCATTGGAAAGAAGGATTATTGGATTGCATTCTGTTCTTCTCCTTAGCAGTTTCAGTTATGATTGCAGGACCATTGGCGAAAAGGTAGGTTCAAAGTATTTTTCTAGACGATTTTAACTGTAACCCTCAAGCTGCAGTGAAACATTTGCTAGTAGTAATACAGAAATTAAAAAAAAATAGATTTAACGATATTGTGTTTCAGGTTTGAAAAACGGAAGATAGTTTTAATCTCGCTATATCTGAGTGTATGCAGTTTAGTTTTCTGTGGCATGGTTGCAAACTTTACAGCTCTTTTTCTTTCTCGAGCCATACTTGGCTTTTGTTGTGGACTCAGATACACCATTATTTATGTTTGGGCCGCTGACATAGTTTCCAATAAAGAGATTCTAGACAGAATTTTAATGATAACACAGATTTTCTACACTGCCGGGTCAATGTGGTCGTCAGTGTTGGGGTTCCTACTACTTGAATGGATTGGATGGAGGAAGTTTCTACTTTTCTCGACATTGCCCGTACTCAGTCCTCCGATCATCATGGTTCACTTCTGTGTAAAAGATATAAAAGGATCACAAATAGAAAGGTCAGAAGACGAAGCAGAACAGCAAGAAACAGTGACTGTTTCAAACTTTGCAGCTAGAACCACAAAAATGGGGCTGCTCGTTGCTTGTGTTACTTTTAATGGCTGGTTGACCACCCTCCTCGTTCCAGCGTTGATCCAGATGCTTAAGATCAATAAAGCAGGACCAAACATTGATTGCTCAGTTACCATGACTCAAGGGCCGGAACTCTTGTTACTGGCACTTGTTAACTTCGCAGGTATGCCCTCTGTATTCCTTATGCACTGGATAAAAGACAAGATTGGATTTCGTAAACTGCAGGGGTTTGTTTCCCTAGTATACGTAGCAAACTTTGTACTGATGCTCACACAACAAAACCTTGCGGTAGCGATTTTCACTAACTTCATAACGAAGTTCTTGAACGGGATAATTGTTTTGGGCTACAGCTATGTCCTCTTCGACGTGAATTACTTCGGACCGTCAAACTTTGAAGTAGGTGCTAGCATCGCAACCGCAATTGGCTTGATTGGTGGAATGGCTGGGTCAGGCATGGCCGCATTTGCCTCCACATCATCTGTTATAATCACTGCTTTGGTGGTCAGTGTGGTTCAGGTGATGGTTGTTGTTTCTATGACAGAGGTTCAGTAGCAATATCAAGCTGAATAGGTGAGCAGGTTAAATAGACAGAAGACAGAAGGTTAGATAGAAAAGTGCTCAACACATGAGGCCAGGTTTCAAAATGAGGGAGTGGTCTGAAAGTCCTTTCCGAAACTTTCTTTAGTTAGATATCCCAGCCCTATTCAGAAGAATTTGTGATTAATTTATTGCACTGTAAATTTGTATTTCCTGATAAATAATGAGACCTAATTATTTCATTTTCAGAGTTTTAGTCACAATTTCGTATTACTCTAACTAACTTAATTTTAACAATTTTGTGCCAATTTTGCGTCATTTTTCTTTATAAATTTTATCTACCACGCTATCAGTGAAACAATTTTATCGTATTCCAATTTCTGATCGACTTTCATGATATTCTCTAATCATGACCTTTTTATAAATTTTTGAATCTCTTTGACTGAGTATTATGATTGATTTTATCTGACTAATTTATTTCTTTTTTGTAGGCTCTAGCGATGTAATAAACGAAGTTTCCAAGCCAAATTTGTGTGTTTCCCTTCGTGTCCAAAATCAATCATACTCTAACTCAGTTGATGAAGTAAAATATAATTTGACAAAGTAAAATATATTCGAAGAAATAGTGTTATACATAATTTGTTGCCTTATTAAGTTTGTTACTGATGTCTTTAACGAATTTGTTGCTTTAATGTTGCCTTAATGTTGCCTTAATGTTGTCTTAATGTTGTTTTATCGTTTGTTGTCTTATTGGTGTTTGTTGCGTTAATGTTGTCTTAATGTTGTCTTATTGTTGTATTAATGTTGTCTTATTGTTGTCTTAATGTTGCATCGGTGTTTGTCCTAGTTCCCCATATCTATATACTAGAAGAAAAGAACGGCAGTTTGTACAGATAAAAGAAAAATTTTTATAACAAAACAGCACGTATAGCTATTATAAAGCAATGAAAGGCATTAGTTTGGTCAAATCAAACAGAACATATTACGCTATCAGACTTTCAACTGACTAAGGTAGGGTTAAAACAGTTTCGACGCTAGCAACGATCCCCTTTTACATAGTTCCACTCAATAAATGTAATAGATTTGTAGTGTTGTAATTAGTTTATAGCTATAACGCTATAAGACAACTAGGTTTTATTACAAAACAGATTGTAGAACTATAACAAAACACCAGGTTTACAACGTCAAGCAGTATAATATAATAACTGAACAAGTATAACAATATATAACGTACAATATACAGAGGTATAGAAACACCAGGTTTACAACGTCAACTTAACAGAAGCAGTATAATATAATAACTGAACAAGTATAACAATATATAACGTACAATATACAGAGGTATAGAAACACCAGGTTTACAACGTCAACTTAACAGAAGCAGTATAATATAATAACTGAACAAGTATAACAATATATAACGTACAATATACAGAGGTATAGAAACACCAGGTTTACAACGTCAACTTAACAGAAGCAGTATAATATAATAACTGAACAAGTATAACAATATATAACGTACAATATACAGAGGTATAGAAACACCAGGTTTACAACGTCAACTTAACAGAAGCAGTATAATATAATAACTGAACAAGTATAACAATATATAACGTACAATATACAGAGGTATGGACAAGGTTGTTAAATACGTCAAATTTTCGTGAAATAATACGACGTATTCGGTTCTGATAAAGAATACGTCGTAATACGCCGTAATACGGTAATTTCTATGGATTGTTAAATACGTCCACGAATACGCCATAATACGTAATACGCTGATTTGTCAAAATTAAACATTACAGCTGCGCGCCACCCTCATCATTGATCATGCATTAAAGGAGTGCAGTTATACATGATAACTTAAATTTGTAATCAAATTTCATGGATAATATTAATCCGATAAGCTAAAATTTTTTGCGAAATTATCAATTACATATTAATACATATTTAATGATTTTGATGTTCAGAATTTAAAGACCGTCCGCGATCAATTTCAACTTCAAGCCACACCTTTTCGTAATACGTCAATTTTCGAGGATTAATACGTATTTGTATTCCAATACGTATTCCCTCCTAATACGTATTTAACAACCTTGGGTATGGAAACACCGCAGGTTTACAACGTACCGTCTGGGTGCTGGGATACAGTGAGGACAGACCTCCACTGAGCTAAAAATCTCTCCAACTCTTCCTTGTCCTTGTCTAGCTTCAACGTGTAGATCCTGTTTTCTCGGTTTACTATCCCTGTGGGTAGTTGGTGTTTCTCAAGTTTCCTGACACGTAGTATCTTTTAAAATCATGAATTTTTCTAGAGCTATTTTTCCCCAACGTGTCCTTAAAATCAAATTTCGGCGCCAGGATGCACCGTGTACTTGGTTACAGCACCTTTCTAATTGTTGGTCAGCAAAGATAAATTGAATTATGATTTTTATGATAAAATTTCCCCACTTCCCCTCTGCACAAATGCTAGAAATTTCAGTGGATCTCTCGTCTCTAATTTCACTAAAACTAATCCACAATTGGTGGCGAATGGTTTCAATTTAAGCTGCATGAAAGTCATTACCAACAACATTGGCTTTATCGTATTCTACGAAGACAGTTGACTGAGTCAAGTCTATCGCTGCCTCTGTTCTCTTCTTCATTCTTGTCTTGTGGATATACAGGGCTGTCTCTGCGAATAAAATACAGTGAAACCCCTATTTACCGTGGAGGTTGGGGAAAGGATAGCAGCAGCGGTAAATCGGGGTTCGCGGTAAATCGGGATTTTGTTTGTTTACATCATGTATGTTAAGCCCTATTTGCAGTACTATCAGCATGTAAGTTTTAAATTGGTAAAGAGATCGAGTGTACTTGGAGTTGGAAGGATCCATGCCATTAACTTCCAACCAACAATTATTATTAAAGCGAAGAAACTTCACAGTGAGTTGACGGTTGTAACAGGGAAACAAAGTATTCGTAACTTACTTTTTTCTGTTGAATTGTGTGTAATCTCAACAAACTTCGGCTGAGGCGCTTTCTGAAACAGAAGACATTTGAGAAAGTAGAACAAAATGATAAATTAAAAATGTTGTTAATCATGTAAAAATACGGTTACATGAAGTATAACATTGTTCCAATTGTAATAAGATATGATAGATTAGTAATAAGAAGCCCCACCTGGTTAAGAGTTACACAAACAATCCCACTCAGCAAGACCTCATGCTGACCAGTAAAATGAGTTTTAGAACCCCGCCCTAGAGTCCTGAAGATCTCCATAATACTACCTGACAATTTGTAGATTTATGAAGGAGCATGTCTGACATGATAGATCTGGTTCTCTTGTGTAACTGTAAAAGAGGGACCAGATCTTCTGTCAATACAGTTGACAAAAGTTGTGAGAGCGGCTTTGAATTTGCATGCTTTGTATCAAAGCTTAGTTAATTAGGAGTCCCAAGGACTCAATAAATCGATGATAAAAATCTTATCGATATATGTTGTTGTTAATATAAATGCTATATATTATTCTATTTGGTTTTCAAAAAAAATCTCGTGATCAATTCAGAATTATGCTGGTTAACAGTCAGCGAGCAAAATCAGCAAGTTAAGCGATAAATACACCTTTTTGTGCGAGAAGCACAAAAAGGTGTATCCAAAGCGTACGGAGATAAAACTAGATTCAAACTAAAGACAAAAACTGAGCTGCAGAGAAATAGTTTAAAATAAAGAAATCCTGTGATTTAAGTAGTGCCTAACTATGCAAAATAGAAAGTAGAAATCCATCTTTTGAGGTCTACGAGCGTCACTACACAAAACACTAATTTTGTTTCAAGGCACGTCATTAATAACCCCCATCCCGAACCCCCAAAATCTGCACACAGATTTACCGCAGAAAACACTAACATGTCCCTAATTGAATAACAGTGATTTCCCTGGGGACAGGTTTAAGATACGGAACTGATAAGGCAAATATAGTATCTAAATCAGACTTCTGGTACTGTTCCAGAGAACGAGGGCTATTTATGGGAACTTTTGCTTTTGAGCTCCCATTGTTGGTGATTGAATCTTCATTCACACGACCACCCAACATACAGTCATTCTTTCTAAAGCGAATATTTAAAGGTAAAATACTAAAATAAGAATATTTCGGATCGTTCACGACGATTAACGTATTAAAACTTGTAAAACAATTGTGAACCATGGTGACAAGCAGCGCACAGGAAGCAAGAGTGCTGTAGACGTAGTGTCCACTTACAATGGGCCACATAACGGCAGTACGATAAGCTGGAGCCTGATGCAATACAGATAGAGCACTGGAGTCATATCACGCCATGTAAATGACGATATCATATTTCTTATAATTTGAAAATTCTACAAAACAATCATACTGGCTGTGTATAAGTATATAGTTTTCAGAAACAAAAACTATATACCGCAGATAGATCGTATGATGAAAATAAATGTGAATTGTGAGTCGAATGGTGTGTGTTTTAAGTTAAAGTTGATCGAAATCGAAAACCTAATTATCGTAAAACTGAATTTGGAGTGGGTAAGCTGTTGTAATTTGAACCGAAACTCGAAAATTCAATAAGAACAGTTATCAGATGGACTTTAAAATGTTTGATCGAGTTTATGTCGTTGGCCAAGTACCCAAAATATTCGCTAATTAGTTTAGCAATCATTTTAGATCACAAGTAAAATTGTACGAAATTTCAGTCTGATAAGAGTCAAGGCATCTCGGCTAGCTGGTTTAGCTCTCGCATCGTACGATTTTTAATCTTTCTCGACATGAAAAGACGTAACTATTATGTGTAATTTTGTGCAATTATGTAATCTATGTGTGAATATTGACTTAGGTTATATTACTTAAAAATTATTGAGTAATATACACACAAATGACCTTGTTTGCTTTAATGAAGTTAACTGTTGTATAAATAGATAAAATATGTGGTAACGTTATATTTATAACAATTCTTAATACTTGTATTGGTACCATACATTTCATCAAGATTGGGTTGCAAATTATGACCAATTCTAAACCGCAGTATAACAATATGATACATCGTAAGACTAGGAATCTAGGATGTAAAACATCTCAGCCAGTCAGGAAATAGGATGAATTAATGACTGCCTTAATTAATCCAGTGAGCTGCATGATTGGACCGCTGACCCAACACCGAGAAAGATGAATTAATGCTGTTCCGTTATGTGAATACTTTATATAAGCTTATAAGGGCTGAATGGACATTGTGGCTACGTTAAAACAGAACTCATCTAATGTAGCTCTACCATAGTACTAATGAGATTGGGTTGCTAATTAATTAGTTAATTAAAGTGCACATTGTTTACTGCATACAAATTATATTGCAACATAAAAGTGCAAAGTATTCTATTTTCAGAGTTACGACGAGCACGATATTCCTCAGAGAGTGACAGGAAGGAGATCATAAAGTTTGTTATAAAAACAGGAAGACAGAAGAACAAGCTGACAAGAAACAAAGACCCCACTCTAAACACTCGACTGAATGCTACACACAGCGAGCAACAAGTAACAGTGAGTAAAACACTACAGCATTACCTATCAATACCTATCAGTATGTAGTATCCCAACTCTTAGGTTTAGTACTGGGGGCGGTGTTTGTTGCAGGGTTTAGGATGTACATTCTCCTACATTCTACAATGGTAGTGGTACCGTCCCGGTTCAGCATGTATTATGATATATTCCGTCTATAAATGTACATTTATATAATTCGGAGCATATATATGGTGTTTCATGTGGTGTAACATTATGATGAGAATGTGAGAGTTGATACGTCATATTACGTCATATTTACCGACCTACGTCATACTTAACTACGTCATGCTTACCTATATCATAGGTTTCTGGTTACGACTTATTAGTCATAATCCAGGGATAGGCGGAATAGAAGTCAACGTTCCGGGCAAAGGAGTAGAATTCATGGAAAACGTTATTATAAAATAACCGATGGATATTTTGAAACTTATTGAATGTCGAAGATGAGTGATATTAGTAGAACGAGGTCGCTTTAGCTCCTTAGCTTCCGACTCGTCTGGTCATGCTGGTCCATGATATAAGGCCATAGCTCGCTGAGTGGTTTTTTGAGATCTGATATATTTCTGAGTCCCGTTTTCTTTCAATTATGAATTACCGATTTCTGTTTGATATCAGACATCGACTCACTATCCGAAACCCTCAAAAGTTACAGCCTTCTTTATTTTACAAGAGCCTGTATTGATCATCCTGTGATCTTGTAATGTTAACTCTCATAATAGAATATTATGAGAATAGCCATTTTAATATAACTCAATATCTTGTCTCTTTTAACCAATTGCCACAGATGACAGCGATTATCTAGCTTGGCTCACTGTTGGCTGACAAACGATAAGAAAAGCTGTGATTTTAACAGGTGCAGAGTGCATGCTGTACAAAATTATTTATCAGTATCAAGCCTACCTTTTTACATGCTTTATTCCGAATTAGGGCGAATTTGAGTACACCCGAGAAAACAATAACCCGATTACTGTTAGTTGATTAAAAATTCAACTGATTTTTATGACGTTTTATTTTATTTTATTTTTGTGAGGTGATTTTTTGATAGTAGACTGTTATTTATTTTATTTATTTTTTGGTGTGTTGCTGTGACGGGCACGCATGGGAGTAACTACTACGACCAGAACGTCTGACGCTTCCAAGAAGCCTACAGTTCTTCTCTTCAGCTTTGTTTTGTTCGGTTTTTTCACGGTGGCATCTCTCCACTTCGCCACATGGAATGTTAGAGGCATTAGTCAGGAACACTCGCAGCATCTAGCTGCAAATGATTGCGACAGATACAACTTGGATGTTATAGCCCTCCAAGAAACTAAGGTGTCTAAACACTCAGACACTGTTATACCCGGCAACCACAGGCTTCTTTTGTTTAACCAGAAGTTGTCTTGGCATGGCGGACTCGGTTTTATTATCAACAGTAAATTTGTATCAAATGTTGTCTCGTACCATCAAATCAGTGACAGAGTAGCATACATGGACCTTTCTCTACCATCAAAGTGTCATGGGAAACCATCACTGAAAGCCCGTATTATAAACTGCTACAGTCCAACTAATGTCAAATCTATACAGAACCCACGCATTGCTGATGAGTTTTACTGTGAGCTCCAGGAAGCTATCAGAATTCCTGCCAGACATGAACTTTTCATCATGGGTGATTTTAATGCTAGGCTAGGGAAACGGACTAAATCAGATTTTGAAAGTGGTCTTCAAACTAACATGGGAAGACATGGTATTGGTCGGCGTAACGAAAATGGCGAAAGGTTGCTAGCTTTCATGATCACTAATGGACTCTATGCAGCCAACACTGCATTTTCACATGCGAGCAGACACACCAACACTTTTACAGGATGGATTAAAGACCGTAGATCCAAAAAGTCTGTACCCTGGTTTTCTCAAATTGATTATGTTTTATGTAGATCTAGAAGTACCCCTCTGCTTGTTGACGCTAGGTCTTACGCTGGTGCAAAACTTCAATCTGATCACAAAATTGTAAAAGCAACTTTTGACCTCAGTAAACGTTACAAACTTTACAGTACTGCCAAACACAAAGTCAAGCAGTATAACACCAACTCATTGGTTTGTAGCAAAGATGTTCAAAGTTCTTTTCAACAAAATGCTGCTCAGAAGATTGAAACTGATACATCTGCCCAGTCAGTCACTGAAAGTTTTAATAACCTTTTCGAGGCGGTTAAAATTGCTGCATCTGAAACAGTGGGTATGAAAAGAAACATAGCCAAACGTCACAGAACATCAGACCCACAAGTCGTCTCTATGTCAGAAAAGAGACACCAATTACTACAACATTTAAACGACAACAAAATGCGTGACAGAACTATCCTGCGTAAGGAAATCAACAGACTCAAGAATGACATTGCAAAGCGCCTTATTACACTTGAAACCGCTCATGCCGACCTTCTAGCTGAGACGATCAACTCCACTGATGATACCAGAAGAATGTTCGAAGCAACCAGAGCAATTTCAAGCACAAAGGACACTCCTCCTATCTCAGTATTCCTACCAGAAACAGAAGAACTTGCTCTCAATGACGAAGATAAGGCAGACATAGTCAAGAACTGGTTCATGGAACATTACACAGGCCCAGAACCCCCACTAGAACCTTTTGTTGGAGCTGCTAAGCCATTAGATACGCCTATAACTGCACTTGAAGTTGAGACAGCAGCCAAGAAACTAAAGAACGGTAAAGCCGTTGGTCCTGACAACCTCCCTAACGAATTCCTTAAGTATGCACCTCCTTCTTTCTACATGAAGTTTGCATCACTTATCAATGAGTCCTTTGAAAAACAAGAACACGTTCAATCGTTCACTGAGGGATATCTTACCCCCCTACAGAAGCCTGGAAAACCAAAAGGACCAGTTAAGAGTCTGCGTCCCTTGTGCCTTCTCAATGGAACTAGGAAAATCCTTTCCATGATAACACTCCAGCGTATTCAACAACAGATAGCAGACTACACTGGGCCATGGCAGAATGCCTATAAATCAGGACACAGCTGCTCTAATATTGTCTGGACACAAAGGGTTCTTATTTCTGTTGTCAAGGAGAAACATTGGGAGTTTAGTAAAATGGGGATAGACATGTCATCAGCCTTCGACACAATACATCGGTCAACTCTCCTCAGGCTACTCGAAGATGCAGGATGCTCAGAAGATGACATAAGACTAGTTAGATATCTGCTCGCTAACACCAAGCTCAGAATTAAGATCAAAAAGACGACATCGGGAGAGTTCGAAGTCACAATAGGAGCCTTTCAAGGTGACTGTTTGTCTGGCTCGCTGTTTACCATGTACCTAGCTGGAGCACTCTACCACCTTAGAGTTGTTGTTATACATCTACGCCCTAATCCCCCCATATCCGAAAGCTCCCTTCCTTTAGAATGGGAATATGCTGATGATGTGGACTTTGCTGATGAAGATGAGGATTCGTTACACCAGCTCCTTCCAATTTGCAAGGAAATTCTCTCAGAATGGAATTTGTTTGTAAATGAATCTAAAACCGAGTTTGTAAAGTGTTATCTGGCTGGAAGTAGTGAGAAGGACGAAAAAGGAGAACCTCTAAGAAATAGAGAACCTTGGAGGAAGTGTGTGTCCCTAGGCTCTAAGCTATGTAGTAAAGAAGACATACAGCATCGTATGATCCTTGGAAATGTCGCATTCGAAAAATACAAGAAAGTTTGGATGCAAGGATCTAAGATTAATCTGAAGACCAAGATTAAGATATACGAAGCATACGTTACATCTGTTATGCTCTATAACTGCAATAGCTGGGCTACCCCTCAGAACCTATTTGACAAACTTGATGCATGTCATAGAAGACACCTGCGTCAAATATTGAAGATGACTTATCCCATTATTATCAGTAATAAAGCACTCTATGAACGCTGTGGTGTAACACCGTTGTCAGAGCGAGTGACATATGCTCGCTGGAAAATGCTTGGACATGTCCTTCGCAGTGACTGCTCATCACCAGCTCAGAGAGCTCTTCAATTTGCTGTTAATGCGTTATTTACCATGAAAGGACGTGTTGGTCGACACCAAAGTAATCTTTTAAAGTTTATTATAAATGATTTGAATAAAAGAAACCTACCATTACGTGATATTAATGATCTTTATGATCTTAGGGCTACTGCCTCTAACAGAGTTTTGTGGAGAAAATTATTTACCTCATAATTAACCTTTATTTTTCAGAGAACTGTTATGTTTTTTTGGGCACTTATCAGTCTCTTAAGATGTTTCTTTACTATTTCGAGATTGTTTTAAAAGTTAGATAATAATAAGACTGTTATTTATAGTGTGGTGTATATCAATAAAACTTCCTATCATTACTAAATGATATAATTTAAGTAGAATTTTCTGAATAGATTTGTTTTTTGAGATGATATACCTAATTCTTTGTTACTGGATATTTTCACCTAGCCTCACCCTTATGAACCACTCTGACGTGGCTAGTAGCTGTCACTTGTGTAAGTTGCTAATCATATGGGCGGTATACAAGCACATTATTTCATTTTATTTAAAGTACAGGTGCGCAACATGACAGCTATGTGGAATCCTCTATTCACTTGATGGGCTGATACAAAGCTTTGATATATTTATAGCCGAGACTGTATGTTTTAGTTATAAGACAAGTTATTCAAACCTTTTCCTGCTTTTCATCAATTTATTTCAACAGTTTTGCGTATTTTTAATTTTTGTCATGTTTGGTGTGCCGCGGAATTCCAAAAGAGTCGCTGATGTTCTTATCATATTTTGCTTGAATAAGATTTCACCCTGATTCACCAAGAGGAATCGACAGTTTCAACTGGAACAAACAAAATCATTGCTTTTAGACATTCCTTAATCACTTATCAGGCTTATTACTTAAGCATCTATTTTTAGAACTTCAGAAAACATTGCTTTGAGGGACAAATTTGCAACATTTTCTTCGTTTGACAGCGTTTAAAATCATAGTTAGAAATCGAAACGTTAGTTTCTGCTCACAACTAATAATTGGTTTAAAACTCATAGCCATGCTACGTATAGATTTCACAGTAACTTAACTTAATGTAATCATTCTAATGAACATGTGATTAGGATTCGTATAAATGTACGTGTGATCAGAGAGCTGCAGTAGAGTGGACTCCATTAAATCTTGCAATATGGGCATCATCATGTCTTGTCTATTCTCTCCTCCTAAGGTACTGATCACATTGAAAAACAGTTTTATTTTTCTTTCGTCGAACTTAAGATAGTTAAAATTACCATTTTTTCGTAAGTTAGCGTTTATTGTTCGGAAAATTACTAGATAGTGATCAATAAGTGACCAATAAGTGACCAGTAAATGAGTAATAAATGAGTAACAAGTGAACGGATAGTGACCATTTTATACCAATTGCAGGACGTTTTAGACCCCATCATATCTGAAAACAAGGTGGTTATAATAACTGAGGAAGGAGACGAAGAGAAGGTCGAGAACTTAAAAAGTATACTAGACAAACACGATCTCCCTGAGGCAGAAATCGTCGTAAGTTTAGGACTTCGGATATAAAATATGTTGGACCCATGAAATTAAATATTTTACTGATCAATATTGCAAGGTTCCAGTAAATTTTAGTAGTGGGAAAAAAAAGACCATTCAATGATTTGGTGAATCCTACATTATAAACAGTCAAGGTTGAGAATCCAAGAGCGCGACAAAACATCCTTTAACATTATCATATTATTCAAGTCCGATTTTCAAGTTCTATTCTTGATATTTCCAACAGACTCCTCAGCTGAATACATACCTCTAACAAATTCCTCCAACCAGGTCCATACGTTACCAGAGAACTGCCACAAGGGGCGGATGAAGGCTCACATTGAAGAGCTAAGTGGTGGTGATGAGCTGCCCTTCGTTACTTTCAACGGAATAGCCCTGGGACCTTACACTCACATCATGGCCATGGCAGACACGGCAGAGCTGTACAAAACTATCCATGGAAAGGTAAGGGAGTGTGAACGTTGCATGATGTATAATGCTTGCAGAGTAATCAGCAATGTAGGCAAAATACTGACATTTCTGTGCTTCCAAGCTGTTTTTAAGGAACAAAACAAAATAATGTGAGTTGAAGGTAGCGACAATAATTCTATCATTTCTTCCAGGACAAGGATGAGGAAGGAGTACCTGAGGGCAAAAAAGGCGGGAATGTCAACAAAGAGAGACGACCAAGCATGATGGACAAATTCTTCGGCGGAAATGACAAGGACAAGAAGAGCGAGAAGAAGAAGAGGAACACTAACACTGGTTCAGTGCAGGGGTCTGAGGGGTTAAAGGAGGAAACGGTTTCTAATGTTAACGCTGAGGGTGTGGTGGCTGAATAGTAAATAGGGTGTGGTGGCTGAATAGACTGCAGATGGGTCAACATAACTTATCTCAGTTTCTTCTTCTCACCTAGAGGGCACTAAAGAATAGTTATGTTGGATGTTTTTAATGGTTCTAGTCAGCTCGTTTCAGGCATTGGGAAATACTTTAACTCTTTTTTGTTTTCAACGTTTCATTTGTAGCGTCATGGTGCTTGTGACACTGATATTCCTTATGGATGTTGTCAATACTAAGGTAGCAAGTTTTCACCATCATGAAGTTTTTCTTTATCGTTATCTGCCATACATGAATTTGTTGATATTCTTTATTGTCGAAAAGAGAGTTAAAGTCAATAATTTGTAGTTATTCTTGTACTTTAAAGTACATAAATATTTACGATTTAAATTAAACATTACTATCACAATCGTTTTAACTTAAAATTCCCATTCAAAAAATTTCAAATAATTAAATAATATTTCTGCTTCAAATTGAGTTCAATCATTAGCCAGGCCTAGAAAAAAATAAAACAAAAAATCTAACACACCTCGCCCGATTCATCATCAAGCACACCAGTTGAATCATCAACAGTAAGTACATCCTCCTCTACCTTAGCTTTCTCACCAAACCGCCTCCTGTACTGCGATAAAAGTCCAGTATCAGGAACATACAAGCTGAGGTAGCTGTGAACAGACTTTACTACAGCTCTAATCACAGCATCCACATATCTTCTGGAGGGTTCCACTTCCATCTCACCGGAGAACAGGATAAAGGGAGAGACAGAGCAGTTGATCCAGGTCACACAGACCAGGGAGATGAAGAACTTGAAGAGGAGGTCGTCAGTGCTGGAGCCAGAGATGAATCTGGTGGCGATGATGGCAAGGATGACGGAGACAAGGCCGCATATAAAGAGACTTGTGGCGAGACAGAGGATTTGTTCCATGGCATCAGAAATGGAGTCGTTATTCTGCGGCGGTACTGACTTGTCCATAATATTCTTTTCCTCCTCATTTTCTATGATAACCATCTCATCTTTACTGTTCACTTCAGCCGCCTCAATCTTGCCAGACTTCTTTTTAGAAAACACTCCTTTAAAACCATCAAAAATACCAGCGGGATTGATCTCAAATAAGATCCACGCCTGCATGAGCCAGGGAAGGAGGAAGGGTATCATAACAAAGACACCCCAGCTTTTCAAGTCAGCGGAGTCGTGACTGTCAAAGGTCCAGCCGTAAATACCCAGCATGTGTGTCAGCACTAGCACGGTAAAGTAGAGCCAGGTAGCTCCAATAAAACCATAGGTTACGTTTATTGTTACTTCTCTCCGGGAACCTTCTGTAAAACGGAAGTTTAAGAATTTATAATACAACACTATTTCATTCACAAGCGAAATTAAAAGATTTTGAAAAAGAATAAAAATCATTTACTAAGGAAAAACATTATAAAAATGATTGTGAGGCACTTACAAAGTAAGTTTCGGAAGAAATTAAAAAGCATGAAAATACTGAGCTTGAGGGAGCACTTACCCAGCCGCCGTTGGTTAGAATGGAACCAGAGAACTATAGTTAACGCCCAGGAGGAGGCACTTAGGGAACAGAGCGTCATGTTCCAACCTGTTGAGAACATCACACAATCAAAATCCGAGGTTTCATGATCTTGTTTCCAGTATTTCTGATGTTCTTTCCCGGTCAAACTCGGGTAAGGACAAAATGAAACTTGACAATTTAATCTGGTAACATTCTGTCCTTACCCGAGACTGATTAGAAAACATCAAAAATCTTGAGCACAAGATCAGTCAAGAACATATACCCAACAAATACCCTCAGGAAATCTCTCAGAAACATATTGATAACTAAATACAATTACAAATTATTAGTTGACGAAGAAGAGAACTAAAAAGCAAAGAACGCTCACACTAAAATCCCATACCTGTGGATTTCTCGTAGTTGTCGTCACTACAAAAAGTGTCTGACCCATAGAGAGCATTTTCAAAGGTGGCAGCTGAGAGGTAGTAGGACGCCAGCAGGTTACAAAACGCTAGATTACTCTGAGGGGCCGGGGGAGATTCAGATAACGTTGAAAATAATCATGAACCAAATACATTTAACATATTATGAGATCTTGAGGAGCAGATTAGGGCGGGTAAAATTTAAAAACATGTTATCTCATCAGCTGACGAAGCTTTTTTACCTGAAGCAAGGTCTTAGCAGTGAGCTGATGTCGGTGTACAACGAAAATAGAAATAACATACAAATTTGTACAACAAAGAACAACACAAATAAACGTCACCAGGAACTCAGCCAACATTTCTTAAACGGAGTATAATCTCAAAAGTAATCTTAACACAATTAACAATAAAGACTGTAGTTACAAACAGACCCTCTCAAATTTAACTATACACACTGTTACGCTGATATATACACAGTGTGGAGAGTAAGAGAGAGTAGCATGGCATCATGGGATAGTGTGCGCACCATGTGTTTATTCTATAACAGTGCAGAGTTGAGAAATATATTTCCTTGCAATTGGCATGATTGTCACCATTATTGTACTTAATGTACATCTTTGAGGCTCAAAACCTCAATAATTTATTATATTTATAAAAATTCGTTAGATGTAAGATGGTATTTTAGTATTTCGATAGTATTTCAGAGCAATACAATCGGGAATTGAATTTTTTACGGCAGCCTGATTGTTTCTATAATCGATTTTGGATAAAAGTACTGCATCAAACTATTTTTACAGTTTCCTGTGGTTTCAAAATGAACCATTCCTTTAGGTGACCAACTGTGGAGGGAGACAAACTTTGCACAAAATTGTGTTGATATATATTATATATAAACATACATGAAAAGTAGTGGTATATACTATAGAACCATAAAAATTGAAGTTTAAATTGAGCAGGCCAGGTCATGAGAATAAATAGGAAGTATGTCTCCCACACGTTAAATGTTGAATGCATAACATATAATAGTTTTAGTTTTCCTACAGTCCAAGAATACATCAACCTTTTAAAAATACGCATGATGTACCATGTACGTCCAAATGAAACACCGAAAAAACACGTGTTTATATAAAATAATACGGATCATGATTGCGGCATATTTGGAACTCGACGTTTACCAGGTGGTTTTCATTGAAATTTAACCGGACAGAATAGAATAACTTATATTGAATCTGATAACTAAATGATTTCCTCAACGTTCATCATAAATTGTTACAAATTAAGTATGTGTAATCTGGGATGTGGTTTACCCAAACTTAGTATTGACTGTTAAAAGACAAAAAGTCCTTTAATATTATTATGAACGTGTTAGAAGAATTGGAATTTCAACTCACTATAAATATGTTATTGCCTCCAAATCCCAATCCGAGGACCTAATTTCAGAACTGGGTTTCAATGTGAGGGTTGTGTAGATTTTTCCATCAAACGAGGTAAAATTTCATTAATTCTGAATTGATAATCATTATCGGTTTTTTTTTCTAAAGCAATATAACAAAGACTCATTGTCTATTATTCTCCAATATAGCCAATCTTCTTGATTAGAATGGAATTACAAATTAGCGGAAATTATACATTTCGACTTGGAAAATGTATTTATACATCGGCCTGGCATTTCTCGAGGTACCAGGTTCGATTCCCGACTCTGTCACTAGCCGTGGGGTGAGCGTCGTCGAAGCTCAGCTAAGGATCCTGAGTGGTCTATGCAGCCCCCCGGTCCACTCAGCCGAATACTCGAGAAATCGGGTGTGAGGGTTAAATGAGGAGCTACACATTGCAGCTAAGTCTCGGGCGAAGAAAGTAAGAAAGCATGGTACACACTACCTTCTTACCTTAACCGTCACTGGCCTAATGTATAATTGAATCCTTCGGCTTCCTGTAATTGGCTGGTTACACTTGTGTAACAATGTGGCTGTTGGAATGTTGAAAGTAAAATAAGTGATGAGATTTATTTTTAAAAAAAGTATAATATACAGTACAGTGACATCTTGAGACAATAAAGATCCTATAATAAACAAACTAGGGGCACGGAGTGCAGTACAGAAAACATGAAATCCGCACTGTCCCAAAAAAAATGATTTTTATGCGATGGAAAATATGCGTGGAGACATTCCAAAATGTATCCAGCCACTGTATCAGCCACTGGAATCAGAATCTAGCTACAAGCCAATCTCCAATGTTCAAGTCTACACACGGTTTTGCTTTTTCCCAGTCTCTCACTTGAAGCAACCACTTAACCAACTCAGAATGTGTTAACAATGACTTTCCATCACGTAATTTCCCTCTTTTGACATTGTAAAAGTTGATGTCTTCTGGTTTTATCACATCGTGGAGGTGTACTCCACTGAAGAGGTTATAGGTATCATCTCCTCTAAATAGTCTGTAATCTTCATAAATAGCAGAAAAAGATGAAAAACGATGTTTGATTCTACGTTGAATGATAAACCCACAGTTTTCATTATTGATGCAGTCGGTGACACCTGGATGTTTCACTTTAAACACATGTTTGAACTCCGGATATTTGTTGTTCCCCAGGAAATTATTGATAGATTGAACCACCACAGAATGCATATAATCTTCTCCCTCTATGTGTATATTATCGTACACTGAAGATAGTTTCTCGCTGTTCCTTATCATTTCTAGTACTTCTATGAACTGGTGTTTTGTTTTGTAATCACTATAGTTCAGAGCAGATATGTTCATGTCTATATATTGTTTGGATACTTTCTGTAATGGGCTCACATCACACAAACTTTCCAAACTCTCTACAAATTCCTTTGTTTCTATGTAGTATAGTGCCCAAGCTCTTCTTAATAATATTTCTATCACAGAGTACATGCTTCTGATTTGTCCTTCAGTAACAGAAGAGGTGATCTCCCTCAAAGAATTGCACATATTTAGAGGACTCCATTCCTCTATATATCCTTCTCTATAACTGGAAGAAAAATCGGTTGGATTCCAAGTGAAAGCTTCTGCTTCAGATATAGGAAAAGGGACCTTTTTGCGATAACCTGCCTCCCTGGTAGCCCTGTTCGTCAGCTTCAGTACCATTCTAAGATCTTCTTTTGTCAAACCTCCCATCTCTGACAATCTCTCCGAAACTTCGTTATACAGCTGGTCATGTTTCTCCAGGCAAAGTGACAAATTAATCTTTTGCAACAAGTATTTAGTACGATCATCCAGATGTTCTTGACTGTTTATACGTTCAAGTATAAACTCCAGAAATACCTTGGGGCTGCAACCAGCTAGATACAGCAAGAACTTCAACTGATCGTTGCTGAGTTGATCGTAGTTATCTCCCATGTATTGAGATAGGAATTGAGAGTTGTCCCTGAAACGCACCTTTAAAATCAGTGTCTCCATAAGCCTGGTTACACTCCACTTTTTGTGAATGTAGAAACACTCCTCAAAAAGGAAAAACATTGAGTCATAATTTATTTCAACTTCTACATTGTTGATTTTTTCTAAGAGCCAATCCCTGCATGATTTGATGAGCCACGTAACATCGAAGACGGTCGAAATCTTGTGTAATTCTTTAAAAACTGACTCTTCAATTTGTTCCACCTTTTTGTCTTCTAACACTGTAAGAAACAATTCAACAACATTTGGGGTAAAGTCTGTCATGTCATGTTCGGACTGATAGCATTCCAGAATGATGAAGGCGAACACACTGCTATTGTCAACAAGCAACTGTTTGCTTACTAGAATAGGATCCATGTCTTTGAACGTTAATACCATACTGTTCCTAACGGTTATTACAATGTTGCTCTGCGGTCGTGCCATTCCCTGTAACGAATAATGAATATAGTAGCAGTTTTTTTATCATGCCAGTGATGTTAATAATATAAAGCAAAAGTCCGACTCTTTTATTCCTAATACAATTTATCTGGGGGATGTAGCGACTAAAGTTGCGCTTTACAAAAATATCAACCGAAAAAAAGATCAACCGACAAAATAAAAGACAAATATGAAGTTCATTTAATTATAGGTGACAGTTGCGTCTACTCACTTTTAACACAATATGACCTGTGCTAACATGTTATGACCCGTGAACAATCGTGAACAATCGGACAGAACTCAAATTATTGGATAATTGAAAAAAATAATAATAAAGTCGTGGTGGGTCACAAAAAAGTTTTAAAAATATATTTGTGTCTAGTGCAAATATGCAGCTACACTGTCCAAAATATAATGGAAAAACTCAAACATGCAGCAAGTGACAAAAGTTGGTTTGTGAGGGTACGGAGTCACTGATAGCAATAAATATTCTTAAATTAACAAATATAAATAAAAACTGTTAAAGAAATGGGCTGATACTGTCCACAATGATTCATAGAAAATAAATTATTGGTTCTTTCCAATAAGAACTTGGAAATAACGATGTTACTATAATGGATGTTGGTGCAGGTCGGTGCAAGCTCCATAGTATCTCAGCTCAGTATTCATATCATCGTTCTTTGTATCAGTAGGGTATAGATAAGGGTTCTGTATAGAGGCGAGCACATTTAATTGAATCATCGTAATTGAATGAACTAAGGCAATGTTAATTGAATCATACACTCGTAATTGAATGAACTAAGGCAATGTTAATTGAATCATACACTAGTAATTGAATAATGTGATACTATCTGACAAAGTTAATTGATTCATACACTAGTAATTGAATAATGTGATACTAGCTGGCAGTGTTAATTGATTCATACACTAGTAATTGAACAATGTGATACTAGCTGACAAGTTAATTGATTCATACACTAGTAATTGAATAATGTGATACTAGCTGGCATTGTTAATTGATTCATACACTAGTAATTGAACAATGTGACACTAGCTAGCCAATATGAACGGATAACGTCTGTCACGTGACTTGTAAGGGTGTTTGATACTCTTCTTATCAAATTATTAATGTTATTGTGTACGTCACGTGATTTGCAAGTGTAGATGAAGTTCTGTACGTGATCAAATTAATGTTATCGTTTACGTGTGATGATTATATTTGTTACATTGAAGTTGAGTAGTGAATGAGACACGTGATTTTAGAGATAAAACACCATGTACTTTGAGTTAACCTGTGTTGACGCATCGAATTAACATACTTAAGTAGATTCTGCAAAGTTGCACTGTATTTGATATACTAACGTTCTGTAGCTCTAGATCTATCTCTCACCGAGATCTAATACTGTGATGACACATGATCATACAGTGTTCTGCAAAAACAAATAAACTCATCAAATTAATGTAACGTTATTTAAATATATTTGATATGATAAGATATGTAATGATTGGAATTTCAGGTAAACCCGTTCTCAAAAAACTACAGAACACTTCGCAATGATAAAATTTAACATGCAATATAATAATAATGGCAAGGATGCCAGCAATGGTGCCTCTCAAAGTCTCAATTTAG